TATGAAAGCAAGAAAATCTCGAAACTTACAAATGTGGAATCAAAGCCTTAATCCAGTGGATTCAGTTATATACCACAGCCTCATTAGCTGGCTAGGGCTCTGGAAACACATCCACAACACCCAGCCCTCTGTTCAATTCAGAAGTTAAATTACACTGTCTCCAATGTTACACCACACTGCTCTAAACTAGTGAGTTTCTTTTACTGAACTCAGCTTTAAGACAATGGTGTTGACTCCCATACTTCTAAATCATGATCACGCAATGCTTCCACAATCAGCAGCAATTTATCCTCACACTATCCATGAACTGGTGAAATGTAATCCCATGCAAAGCCAAAGATGGAGGTCAGAGGTGCCTGGGGTTGCACAAAGCCAAGTCAGGCACTGACTCCCATTCCCAGTGCCTTGCTATAGAATAACTCCACATGGCACTACAGATCTGAGACAAGATCTTATGGACCGATCTCGGTATCACTGGGTAAAACACAAACCTTTTCTTCAGTCCTGGCACTCTGACAACATTAACCTGGATGAAGACCTTCTGGCAGTTTGGGAAAGGTAAGAATTGAGATCATCAATACTGGCTACACTCCTTTTCTGATTTGGGATCTCTACCCAGAGCAGCCTCCCTTCCTCTCCGGGACCCCAATCCATTTCTGCTCCCTCCTTCCCAGCGACGTGCACACACTGCTGGGGCCAGGAAGTTTTCATTGGTCTTGCACTGATGGCAACACTGTTGTATTTTCGTTGTCCTTAACAGCAATACTGACAGCAACACAGACTACAAGCCACAGGTAAAGTCTGAATCTTTCCAAAGTACTGCAAATTCAGATATACATCTTCAGGTTCATGGACACATCCAGTTGCACACAAGTAATATATAAACAACAGCAAGTCTGAATTACATTTGCATCTTGACATGTCAATGTTTTTCTATTATGATTGATGACCAAGACCAACAAGTTGCCAAACTCTTTCACCCTGGAAACCCAAATTTGCTAAGCTGCAATGTATGGGAGGAAAGTAACCCTCTAGCTGTTTAGTCATCACTACATGAAAGCATAAAAGATGTCGCTGCTATATGAGGATGGCCAAAATATTAGAGGTTTGTATTTTAAGAATTTTTTTTTGCTTGGGTTTTTGGGTGTTTTGTTGTTTTATGGACTTTTTTTTTTTAAATTAATGTCCATTGCATATTCTTCTACCGGTCTTCTGTATCTGGTTAGTGCTGGCTCTGCAGAAAGAGAAGTGCAGGGAAGGCAAGGGAGAGGGTTTGAAGAGCTCCATTTTTACTTAATACATACCAGACTGGCTGTCAGTCGGAAATATATCTGTAAAAGAAAAAAAAGAAAGAAAAAAAAAATCAGTACTGGTTGCAGCTGGAGTGCGAATCATATTTAAAAGGTCTCCTCTCTCGATTTGTTTGCTTTAGCTAAATAGAGGAAGTATTTTCTTAGTATCTCAAGTTAAACATCAATCCAGCTTGGAACCCACCTCAATTCAACCACTTGTTGTGAGAAAGATTTTGAAGGAGTCTGTGTTTACCTGAACACATTGCTCTCATAAATAACCTTCTGTATTGGCTTCTAACACACAGCATTGAGCAATAAAAGAGGTTGCTGAGATGTACAAAGATCCACACAATGAGCTAGTTGGTGGCACCCCCACACTCCCCCTGAGCAGCAATATCAGATGGAAACCTGCAGAGAACATCTAACAGGGAGCACAGGTGGAAGCCAAGGCAAAAGCCAAGTGAGCATTTTCCTCATGGTCCTTGGTTTTCGCAGCCACCAGGGACATCAGCAGCTGTGCCTGGCTCTAACACAGCACCTACACCAGAGAACAGGCAGCCAGAAGCACCCAACCATCATCAAATGGGCACCCAGTGCCTTGGCACATCACCCACCACCCCAGAAGAATGCCTTCCCCTTCCCAGCTCAGGTGTCCCTGTCAGCAAGCACAGCTTGCTGGGGAGTCTGGGGGAGTTAAGACCCTGACACAGATTATTCAACCTCACGACCACCCCACGCTTTTTCCAGTTAGAGGTACAGGTCCTTCTCTTGAAAGACCCTATTTATTGCTGGGAAGATGTTTCCTGAAGTAGCTAGGAAGGACCAGATGGAAGATTTTTCATTTGAGGAGCACACAGGACACTGTATGTGGAGAAAGCCTGTTAATAAAGGCTCCCCCAGAAGCTATGAAAACAGTACTTTTGAGACAGCAATACATTATGTTGTTTTCTTCAAGGATCTTGGAAGAGAAAGGTGAAGGGAGGCTGCCAGCAAGGCAAGGTCTCCTGGGACAGGGGCAGGCCCCTGGCTCCTGCTTATCAGCTACCCAAAACACACATTCAGCTGGAAAGTCACAAGGACTACCCCTCATACTGGGCAATGCTCTTTGGCCTGGGCTCAGCCAGTGCCAAAACAGCAAAAATACACACAAAGAACTTCTATTTCTTTACCTTTGACAGCGCACCATGTTCAAAGCATCCTCGGGCAGGGATGCTTTCATCTCATGTATGAGCAGGAAGTAGTAAGTGGAGCAAAAAGCCCTAAATCAAGACATTACACAGTTATGGTCTGTGGCCATTTGAAGGCATGATATCAGGGCCAATCCAACACATCCAGAAAAGCCTCCAATCACCAGTCTGGATCCTTTGCAAACTACATGTTCTACTGCAATCCTCCACCAGCCCACAACCCAAATGCATCCACTGGTATCCCACCTGTTTCGCTCAGCTATATCAGCTGTTATCAAAAAGCAAAACAAAATAATAACAATATAAAGGTTGATAAAAGAAATTCCTTTGTGCCCATCAGGAACTACAGGCCTTGGCAATCACTGCCCTTGCCATACCCCAGTGGGTGCAGTTCTCCAGTCTGCATTCCTGCTAGGCTGTTCAACCAACTCCTCAAACACACACCGCAGCAGAACCAACTATCACAAGATGTCCAGGCTAGAACCCACCTCTAGAAACCACAACTGCCACCAAACCAGGCAGCAGCTGCAGGTGACCCCTCAGCAACACCTCCTGTCAGTCACACCACCACAACTCCCAGCCTGCATTCCCTCAAGGTCTCCTCTCATCTCACTGCTGTATCCCCCACTGCCCCATCTGGCTCTAGATGTGCGGAAAGGCTCACCTGGCTCCTCTTGAGCTCAGCCACAACTCAATAGCAGATTTGCCACCACATTTACTAGAAAAGCAGTGAAACTCTTCAGTGGCTGATGTCAGTAAATTCAAGGACCACACATCATGGTCGAGGGCAGATACAGCTCACATTCACCTCAAGAGGTTTGCCAGTGCAACTCCTGCGGAGGAATGACACAGTGGTCAGACCTCCTGTCCAACTCATCACACCTAAAATTAACACAGATTTGACTCCAAGCTCTCCAGAGCAGAGATCCAGAACTCTGGGCTTGTAGGCAGTTTTCCCCACTGTTGAGAAGAAGGACAGAGCAATCAGTTTGCAGGACTTGCTCTTCTAAAAACAGGGTTGCTGGGAGCACACATCTGAGGCAGGGCTGGTCAGGGACTGTCAGGCACAACGACCCTTTGGGACACCTTTTTCCCCTGCAAGCACAAGAGACTAGATTAAAAATTAGCCTGCCAATTAAGGGCAGCACCTCAGGTGCCCAAGAGAAGTCTAAATCAGGCAGCACTTTCTTTTCCCAAGAAAGCCGTGGTAGGGAAGGAGGCAGAAACACATGTGGCCAGCAGGGCATAGATAAACCCCTCGGACTGCTCTCCAAGGAGCCTGTCTAGTACACTGCAGGACTGAGGCTGCCTGTCTAGGTCAGCTCCCTTCCCAGCTCTTCCAAGGTTAAAAATCAAACAAAAAAGACCCAGGCACAGAGATCAGGCTGGTATTTTGGACAAGCCAAGTCCCAACATAGAAAGGTGAAGCCAGCAAACCAGCTGGCTTCCTGCTACCACACACCCTGCTTTCCCACCTGTTACCTCCCAAAGCACCCTGATGCCAGGTCTCCCAACACAGGCCAGACACTGTAGGACCATGCTCCACAGCAGTTCTCCACCATCCCATCAGCCACCTGCCCAGGAGGGGCAGTCCCTACGTGGAAGCCAGGCAGCTCTGCCCTTGCGTGCATCACACCTCCCAGCCATGCCCTGCCTGCCCCGCTGGGCCAACACTAAATAGCCTTCAGTCAGCCCAGAGGGAAGGAGCATAATGCAAATGAGAAGGCCTAGGAAATCTGGGCCCTATGGTCTCACAATTCCTTCCCCTTCTTGCATGCAGACACTTTGGGTTCTCAGCATGTGCCCAAAATCAGAAAGACTTGGTGACTAAACAAAGGGATTATAATCACCACAGGAACCAGTCATCTCTTAACCGTCGCACCTGTCTCTGCCGAGCCAGCTATTTCCCAAGCCCATGACCATCCTTCCTGGGCTCTGTACAGTATCCACACAGCCTACAACATCTCAATGGAAAACACATTCCACGACTCTTCCCGTTTTCAGGAAAGGGAGGTGGAGGAAGGAGTGAGCAGGAGGAGGTCAAGGGTGTGCACGGCAGAGTGTCCCTTTCAGGACCACCAAGTGAGGGTGCAGATGTGGTACAGGGGTGCTTGCTCTGAGCACCAATACCCAGAGTTGCTGCACAAAAAGCCCAGGAGACATAACTAAATTGAGGGCAGTTGTCCTGATTTTAGGTGGTGCTGGGGGGGTGGATACAGAATCTCAATTTTTGCCTGGTGGTATTTTTACATGCAGGAGGAGCCCGTATGCTAAAATGGGGCATCTAAAGAGAAAAGCTGATGCATCCACACACATACCCCCTCCCCAGGGGCTATCTGGCTCCTGCTGCTATTCAGGTATCTGGGACAGGTCCAGGAAGGTTACCCCATTTGTGAGCCCCCATTTCCCCTCCACTGCTCCTCCCACTCCCTGTGGAAGCACACTGCCAAGGGGGCTCCTCCACCAGCCACACTTATAGTGCTGAATCCAAATACCCTCACAGGAAGCCCATCTTCTCCCTGCTCACAAGCTACAGCTGGGAAGGGACCTCCACCACCCACTGCCTGCTCCCAGCCCCCCTTTTCCACCATGGACACTGCTTCCTCCTGGCAGGGCCCAGGAGGCAGCGGCTGAAGAGCAGCTCATTATCCCTGACGCAAGAGAAACGCTGACTCGTTATTACAGCAACCTGCAGCCATAACTGCCAAGGGGCCGCGCGGCCGCAGGCGGAGCACCAGCAGGAACCAGCTCCAATTACCCTCCTGCTCTCCAAGCTGGGGGGAAGAGGACCTCAGAGTGCTTTGTGTCACCTGCCAGTCACCAAAGCACGCTGCCTGGTACCACTGCAGCTGCGCCTCTGCACGCACAGGTACCAGTGGAGACAACAGCCAGCTCCTCAGCCGCTCCCAGCGGGACACAGGGCTCATCCACACTGCCACTGCTACAGGAAGACACCAGCTGATTTGTTCTGGCTTTCGACCCATGAAGTTGTAACCAAATCATCCTCCACGTTTTGCAGACAAAAGACTCGGACGTCAGCAAAAAAAATGACCTCTCCAAGGTCACGCGGGGACTCGGCAGCAGAGACGTGACCAGAACTCGATCACAATGGCTCAAAAGCTGCAGGGCTGTGCTGGCTGCCCAGGAGAGGGACTGGGAAGGGAAGTGCTGGTGGATGGCAGGATCGATTGGTATCTCTCCTCCTGACCTGCTGCCCAGCAGGGACGATCCAGAGAGGGAAAAAGTCCAAATTACATAGTCCAGCATGTGCTGCAAAGAGACCAGTGGTGCTTGAATCTCTTCCCTGTCCCACGCAACATTCCAGCTCAAACCTCTACCATCCTCAGAGGCCAAGGCAGTGCCTGCACAGGTTCCTGAGACAGTTACAGGTCTCTTCAAAGCAATGCTTAGCAGAGAAGGGGGCGAGGTTTATTAGGAAAAAGTAGCAAAGCAAGAAACCCCAAACCCAAAGATTAGCATGGCCAATTAAATCACTCCTGAGATCTCATTTGCTTCCTGTTCCCCTCCTTTGTTACCTGCTAAGCAGGCTCGGGGAGGGTCCAGCTCTCAGCCACTTAGATTTTCCCAACCCTGTTCAGCTGCCAGGTCCACACAAACACCTCCCATGCCTCTTAACTTACTGTAGGAAGTATCCTTACCCCCTCTCAAAGAGAAGCTGAAGCTTGAGACAGATGGATCAATCCTAACCTGATGCTGGTTAAGTCCTAAGACACCACCTATGGTCTGTGCAAGAGAAAGAAAAATCTGCCAAAGGGTTTATCCTCACCCACATCAATTCCTCCGCGAGGGTATCCAGACTAGCAGACCCCAGTAAGTGGTTTTCTACTCTCC